CCGCAGCCGGAAGCCCGGGACACAGATCACACTCTATCCAGTACCACGCGACAGCTGTTGACAAAAGTCTGAAGTAACCTGTTAGAAACGCTTTTCGTGACATGCTAGCCAAGTTGCTGACCCATACAGACGAACTGACTTCGATAAGTGAAGGTAGTCACTCCCTTCCCATTAATACCATTGATGATGGTGATTGGTACTGGTTGTTGTTGTTGTTGATGCTGTTGGTGCGTGAGTATCTTCATCACCTCCGTCTTTTATGTGTTCACCTGGAGTCCTGTCTTCCCCGTTTGCCTGTCTCTTCACCCTGTTTTTTAGTTTTCACCTGCAGGTCTTCTAGTTTGTGTGGTATTAAACGTATTAAACCGAGCGATGCTGGGGACATCACTCGTACCAAATTCCCATGAAACTTCATGAACTCTCTTACAAATTGCCGCGCCTGAGCAGCGATGATTCGAGACGTTCATGAAGCCGGCTGATCCTCCCGTAGGAGATAGCCGAAGTAAAGTAAGTAAGTAAGTACCACGCGAAGGTCAACTCGACAAAGAAGAGCTCCGAAACCTTTTCAAATAGATCCAAAAAGCAAGTCCTACACTCTTTACGGGGGGAGGTGATAGGATCCCACATATTTTGGTATTGACTGTTTAAACTTGCATATATGGTATGTTATCATTCCCACACATTTTGGTAGTGACTGCTAATTTTGTATATTATCATTCTCACGCATTTTGGTAGTGACTGCTAATTTTGTATATATGGTATATTATCATTCCCACACATTTTGTTACTGACTGTCAATGTCGCACATATGGCATATTATCATTTCTCACACACTTTGTTATTGGCTATTAAGGTCAATTATTTCAAATGCTGTTAGCTGTCCATATTGTTGTAAAATGTATAAATACCATGGCTTTCTTTATCGTTGTTGCACCTCAATACACAGTCACAGTCCAGCCTTTGTCTTTTGATATTTGCGTGTTTTACCAAGTCGGAAGATTAGTTCAGGCGCAGACAGAATAAGGTGACAACTTCATCATTCAATACCCCACAGTTATAACAAATTGGCGACGGGGTTTACCTTAATCCAGTGCAGTTATAACAACGACTCCCATTTATGTATGGTCTACCAAAAATCCATAAAGCTAATGTGCCCTTAAGGCCCATATTATCAATGATAAACTCATCATGACACAAACTAGCCCGATGGCTAGCTGATTCATTGAAGCCAATTCGACAAAAATTTTCAAATCATAGCTTGGATGATACCTTCCAATTTTCTAAAGAAGTCGATCACGTTGACATATCAGATAAACTGATGGTGTCATACGACGTGACTGCCTTATTTACAAATGTACCAGTGATGGAAACAATAGATATCATTTGTAAACAAAGAGATCTGTTGCCATTACCGGAGTCAGAGATGAAACGACTACTAATTCTTTGCACAAAAGACATCCAATTTAGATTCAATAACCAATTCTACCGACAAATTGACGGGGTCGCCATGGGTTCACCCCTAGGACCCATTCTAGCAGATATCTTCATGGGCTATCTCGAACAGACGCGACTGAGTGACGCTATCAATGGAACAACGTACTACTGTCGACAAGTCGATGATACTTTTGTTGTTTGTAACGACATGAGTCAGGCATCTGTATTATTTGACCGCCTAAATGAGGTCCACCCAAACATTAAATTCACCATGGAATACGAACACAACGATGAGTTTAATTTTCTGGACCTAAATGTAAAAAGAAGAAACGATGGAACGGTCGAAAAGTTCATCTACAGGAAAGAAACTTGGACCGGAAAACACCTTTATTACAACAGCTTCTGCTCTATGAGCTATAAGCGGGGATTAGTAAGGACACTGTACGACAGGGCCAGGAAGTTATGTTCACCTAACAAGGTAGAAGAAGAATTAAGCTTTGTTGAAAAATGCCTTAAAGAAAACGGGTATCCAAAAGGATTTATCCTAAAATACAGCAAAGAAAGAGATGAGAAAGAGAAGTCTCCAACAGTTGAAAAGAAGAAAGTGTTCATTTGCCTCCCATACAAAGGAGAAACACTATCGCAAAGATTGAAAAGAGGATGAAGGGAGCAATAAAGAGATGCTTCCCTGCAGCCAATCTGGTGACGCTATACAGTACTACATGCTCTATAAGGCAATCGAAACTGGATAAGTACCCTGCTGATGTCACCTCCAACTGCATTTATAAATTTACGTGTACCTGCGGCAGCAAGTACATTGGAAGGACAGAAAGAAGGGCTTCTATCCGTTTTCAGAGCATATTCCAAGAAACTTATGCCTAAAAGGAAGCAGATATTTACAAAGTGCAATTGCCAGACACCTTTTTTGTGGATACGGGTCATGTTATCGAGATTTCCAAATCCTTCAAAATATTAGACATACAAAGGATAGCGAATCTACTACGGTTTGCTGAAGCAATCTTTGCAATCAAACATCACAGACCAAACTTATGCATACAGAAAGAGAGTGTGTTTTGTCAATCTCTCAATCCCTTGGTAACCATATCACTTTCATTACACTGATTAGTCATACACACTAGTGAGCTCAACTCACTAAGCAAGTTTTCAAATTGATGAACTTTGATCTTCTTGAGTTGCCATGTTGACACTGTTTTCTAGATTTTTCTGTCTTCTCTCACCCCCTCTTTTTTTCTTTTTTCATAGTTTGACAGTATATAAATTGATGGTGACTTAGATTATAATACTTATATTCCAGATGCGTCCACCTTATAATGTCTTCTCTATTACCTTTCAAACAATGAAGTATAAAATGTTATTATTTATAACCATTGTAATTTCAGGTAGTTTGCAGCTGATGAGAACCTGTGAAATCGAATGATATCATTTTATACTGGAAATGTGGTGTTTCTTTCCCTAGGAAAATATTTTTTCGGTGATCCAGTCTGTCTTCTCTCTTATCCGTGATTACACTGATATATATGATGATTCGTACTTAAGCTATTTTCTTCAGGATAATTAATGTAGTTTTAACCGAATTCTTAATTCTCACTTCGCTACATTCTTCCAATTTAGACACTGTTTTGCGTAACATTGTCTACAATATTCATCTGGTGTTTCCACGTCTGCCTTGTGTTCTTTTATGTTTGTTTGTATGTACGGTGTATAAAATTTGTTTTCAGGATGGGAAGCCAACATTATTGTTCGTACATAAATAATCATCATTAGTGGCATGCACAAATCCAAAATATTGTTTAATTTCTGCGGTTGCAGTGACTGTATAACAATCAGTTATCCGAAATAGACTTTCACTGTACCAGCCTGTAAGCCAATCTATGTGTCTGAAGGTTGATGGTACTACCTAATTTAGCGAAGATGGACCTAAATTTTAACTTAAAACATACTCTCTGTAAAAACCAAGCGCATAGGCCAATGAGCCAAAAGATTCATTAGGGTCACAAATTTTCTCTTTACTGTGAAAATCAGTGCAAGGGCATCTTTTTTAAACTGTGCAGATTTCTTCCAGCATTCGTTAGCATTTTTGAAAGATATGTATTTGGTTTGCAAACACCTGAGAGGTACCCGCACTAATAGCATAATTGGGAACATTACAATGCATAGTCGTGAGATTTCGTTCCAGCTACCTATTGTAGGGAGATTTCAGGTCAGAAAACTTTATGAGACCTCTATACAGCTGTTATGTTGCATATTATAATCTTCTGGAAAGTAACCTTATTGAATCGTTAACCAATAAACAGGAAAGGAACATCATAACCACAATATAGGTATGCCAAAGAGAAAAAGTATGACAATAATTTACAGTTTCAGAATATTTTGTTCAGGTGTTTGAATAGCAGCGAAATGACTTGAGAGATAAGTAGTTCTCCTGTCGAATTATGATTTCAGAATCAAGTACATGCCCTCGTATAACTTCGGTCCCCTCAACAGACCACTACATCTCTTTGAAAACCACAATGGCTTATTCTGTTTATTTTGAAGGAAAAGTGGATGAACTTTTGGTGAAACCTGTTGACTTCATACCCGTATCAGTCACGAAGATGAAGAAGCTTGGTCTGCTGATCGTCTGATAAACAAAATTGCATTTTTTCTTTGTGGTCAGTCTTCGCCCATTGCTTGTCTGGAGAAAAGTTTTAATAAGGATGAAATTCTCTCTCATTGGTTGATAATTGCTTAATATTGGTGATCATATATTTATTCTCTAATTAGTAAGAAATATGCTTCTGTGTTAGGAGTAGAAACAATCATAAGAAAGCAAATAGTTAACAGATAGAATTACAGGTAGAATACCAATGAGAAGGACTGTTGAGTGTTCTTTGACCTATAAACGATCTTCAAGTAACTCCAGGCAAAGACTTACAGAATTCTGTCGAACTGGAAAACAGACGTGTTACTCTTTGTTTTTATAACAACTTCATTTTTAATTATCACTTCAATACGCAATTTCGCAATTCTTTGCAGGTGTTATGCTCATTTTCATTGAAAAAATTTCTTTTGCGTTCCGAGTAGACTATATGGCTTCATACCTTCCGCAGCGGTGGTGTTGTTACCTTTGCTAGCCTTACACGCCCAGCCTACCTTCTTTTCCTGGCTTTCTGCCGACCAGTAAATTAGGTGAACTTTAGTAGTGTGTCGGCAGGCTTGGGATCGAATCCAGACCACCTATGTGATTGGTGATCATTCTGCTGCTGAACCAACGACGTAGTTTTCATCTGTCCTGATTGAATGCAGTCGCTTCAGAGTACCATAGGTCATCATACAAGCACAACGATCACATCTCTTTTGTTTGCTAAATATGAATATCACTTAAAAAGAACTTAATATTCCTTTAGTTCAACATAGTCGATTAATGGCAAACATCACTTTCGAAATTAAATATTTCTTTCACTGTTTTGCACTGCCTCATCTATGATTTAAATTTATTTTAAAGTTTGTTATATTCTTTTATTTTGCTTACTCAATTTTTTGATATCGTTTTTATTTTGTTTTAGGAGACAATGAAACTAGAGAATGCATTGAAAGGGAACGTTAATTATCATACAATAAGGGTGAGATACTCTTCTTGTGTTTATCTCTTGTAATTGTAATCATAATATAAGTAATCATAACACTATTCCAAGCTAAACACCTATTTGTGTCATGGTTGGTGATACTATGTGACTGTCAGGGTTCGAACCCACTGGTTGGAAGCCAAGTGCCTAAACCAACGAGCCACATCTCCATCCTAAGTCTGTCTGTCTGTCTGGATTCAAAATAGGACTTGGCACCGAAGTGCAGCAGTTCGAGTTGCCACGTTCCAAACAGCACACAGAGGTAGGCAAGAAGACGAGTGAAGAGAATCAATAAAGTCTGAAAAGTATAAGAGTTAAACAGAATAGGTAATGGTAGAAAGGAATATGAAAGATTACAGAGACTGAATACATCTGCGCCATTGACAACGATTTTGAGCCATGTTATCTTTTGTCTCCAGCCATTGATTCCTGGAGTCCCGAGGGCCTCAACCCGGGAGTCTGCATCTCCCTCCCTACCTGACTCAGTTTAACTGTCAAGGATTTGATGGATTGATGAGGCCATGTTTTTGTTTGGCCACCACTTACCCTTTTCCAACCTGCACCTTTATCAATCAGCTAGTAATATCCGTCGGGGGGGAGGCGATGGTTAGGCATGCGCAGCACGTGACCTAGCCATCTCAATATATGTAACTTTATAGCCTCGTCGATTGATTTTCCCTGTTTGCCCAACACTCTACGCCTAACGTCAACATTACTTACTAGCTTGTTAAACCACCTAACGTGAGACAGAGATCGCAGACATCTACGATCGAAAGCAGTCGACCTTTTCATGTCTTCAACGCGTATTGGCCATGTTTCAGAGCCATAGAGAAGGACGGAGCGAACTGATGAGCAGTACACACGTCCCCTGGTTGATAGCCGGATGTCACGCCTACGCCAGAGATGGTGTAAGTCAGCGAAAGTAGCTCGAGCTTTTTGGATCCGTGCTGAGATTTCGTCGCCAATCAGTCCGTTGGTGCTGATACAACTTCCCAAATAGGCGAAGTGGTCAACATGTTCTACCACTTCACTCCCTATCACTAAGCTAAGAGTTGATGTAGTCAAGTCCTGTAGCGAAATCTTACATTTTACAGGGGCGAATCGCATTCCAAACATACGAAGATTGCTGCTCAAGGTGTTCAGAAGACTCTGCATTTTGTCAACATCCTCCCCTAACAGGACTATGTCATCTGCATATTCTAAGTCCATAAGACTATTCCCTGGTAACAAGTCGATTCCTAAGTCGTTATGTTCAGTTAAGGATACTTCCATCAGCATATCTATGATAAAGTTAAACAGAAATGGGGCAAGTGGACATCCCTGTTGGACACCACTGGTTGTTACCAATTCAGATGACAATTCCCCATAAGCCCTTACACAGCTACATGAGTTTGAATAAAGTGCCTTGATTAGTGCAATGTACTTTCTTGGCACTCCCCTCACAGTCAAACATTGCCATAGTACCTTTCGATCCACGGAGTCGAAGGCCGCCTTCAAGTCAAGAAATATGACAATTGTTGGATGCCGAAAAGTGTGTCTATGTTCTAGAATCTGTCGGAGAGTGAAGATATGATCTATGCACCCTATACCTGGTCTAAAGCCTGCTTGATTTTTCCTCGTTTGTTCCTCCCGAGTTCTGCTTAGTGTGTGCATGATTACTGAGCCTAGGATTTTAGAGACTATGTTCGTTAGGCTGATCCCCCTATGATTATCACATGAGGACTTGTTTCCCTTCCTGAATATCGGTATAATGAGTGACTTACCCCAGTCTGATGGAACCGTCTGTGATTCCTTCATAAGTAACATATTTAGTTATTTGGGCTTCATTTATCCGAAACAGAATTTTCGTGTAAAAAGCTGTGAGCGCCATTCAATGTGTGGGTGTTGAAGATACTACTCACTTGCCTAGACTGAAGTAGGTAAATGTGGAATGCAGTGAAGAAATTACTATACTGGGTATGTGTTGTATGCTTGTGAATTCCAAGGCAGATTTTACAACACTAATCTATGTCAACTCATTAAGGTGAAATATTCACATATATTGACTAAATTGCATGTTATAAAAGTGGGTTTCGCTATAATTCATTGGTTATTTGAAAGCTCCGGCTTAGTGAACTTCTCATTCGACTGTCAACCTAAAAGCGACAGGTTTGCAACGCTATTCATCTACAGAAGTTTGATCGGTTATGTAGCATTATGTGTCCTTCGGAATGCGTTACAAGCATATAGTTTTTATTGTAGGTGGAAAAGTTAAAGCTCAAATAAAATTGGTTTAACTTTTGACAAATTTTACTGTCTCTTTTATTGTCAAGTTATCAAACTGGCAGTCAACATGGAGGTAATATTAAACATTACCAAGTTCTATTTAACCTGATGAGAGTTGGGAGATTTTAGGTTTTCAGCTATAGGCGTCTCTTGATAGCACTGCCCACTCGATGATGATTAACCTAAATTCTAGGCCGGAAAACATGATGAAAGTAATTCTTGTCAGGCATTTGTTTAAAAGATATAACATAAAATCATCGAATCTTCGGATACACTATGCAAACACAACCAGATCTTTGAAAAGTGAATAACTTTCATTGATATACTTCTGATTCCATAAAAATCATAGACTAATTTTTAATTCTTAGGGATTTGGCTGGTCTCAAATCACCGATTGACAGAAGTTTTAATTTATGGGCCATAAGATTTCCATCATAGTGGTTGTGGAGAATCAACAAGATTGCCTCGTAGCCTGAAGGCCCTGGGTCCGATCCCCCCAGAGGGAGAAGTTGTGGTCACTTACAGATGAAGAGTCATAAATTGGGACAAAGCAGTCACTCAGTACTTCTTGGTTTCCACTTGTTCTCTAATTGAAGTCACTTAGTGATCAAAGACAATGGTGTCTGAACTCAGTTAAACAGAATGGATTTTTCCATGTACCAGGCTAAAAGCCACACTTACTGTGTGAGGGCTGATGGCATTACTCAGTTGCTCAGACTGAAGTAGGTAGAGTGGAAGTTGAAACTGCGACCGATCTGCTGAAAACTGAGTGCTGAAACAAATGATCCATACCACCGAATAAACTTGATACCAATACCCTTGAGTTTTATGCGGAGCATCCTATTATCTCAAGTGTGTCGATCTTACTATTCAAGTGAATTTTTTAACTACAAGATGGAAGTAATCAGTTGACGGTGTACACTGTTTAGTCTTCAGCATTACAAAACGTCTGTATCCATGACAGTTGTCTCAGTACTCTTGATCGACACTATTTTGCTGCTTATCTAAATCTAAATCTATAGATCTCCGCATAAAATTACTTATATTGTAATATGTGCCTAAGATTCGTCATGAAGAGTTTATTATACAGTGATCTTGGTTAACGTTCAGTTTTCAGAGTTTGGTTTTCAGGGATTTGATTGATTCGAAGTTAGTCCACGGGCTGACATCAACTATTGAAAACCGGGGAGTATTGGATATATACGTCTCCCCACCTCCCAGTTTGTAACTTTTCAGCAGTACATACCTATGACCTCACTGAGGATAGAACCCATGACCCTTAGATTAAGAGACAAGCTCGTTGTTCATACAGTCACTGTAATGGAGTCCAACGGCTAACGAATTTTAATTGCTGCCATTGGATTCCGTTCCAGTTTCTGTGAACGGTCAACAGACTCACCTCGTTACCTAAAGCTCCTTAGCGTTCAATTTCCTGTGAGGTTATATTTGTGTACTGCTGAAGAGCCCTGAACTTAATGGAACAATTGTCTACTACTTCTTGGTTTTCAGTGGTTCTTTAACTGATGTCACATTGTGATCTAACCTGTAGTCTTCATTCGATAAAGACAGGACCACAATGTGCGTCGGTGGCACCAGTGGTTAGTGCTCTCGCCGATCATGCATACGGTCCGGGGTTCGATCCCCTGCCGACGCACACTTGATATCTATGGGGTCGGCCTGCAAAATTTGGGCTACCGATATCACATGCTGAAAATTCCATGCCTGTATCAAAAAATACCGCGTGGAATCAAGCTGTAATCACAAAAAAAAATTTATTACAGATTTACCACTGTTTTCCCAGTCATTTAGAATGCATAAGTTTTTATATTTGAATCAGTGTATCAGATGAATTCTGTTTGTTATTATATACTATTTCTGTTTGATGCTTGTCTTTTATTTTTCCTAATAATCTTACAGCCTTATGTGTTAGCCTGCCTATCAGATAATTCATTGGCTAGTGAATCATGTATGGCTGAATTAGAGCTTGCAGCCAACTATGTGGATTGTACATATTTTATTCTACGTGTTATAAATACAGAAATGTCAATGATTAAACAACAATCAAAAGTCATGGTTTGTTTACAATTATTACTATCATCATCATTATTATTTCATTATTACGCAATAGTTTGCTCCATTTTAATTGAAGTTAACATTGGTGTGTGTCTGTGTGTGTGTGTGTGTGTGATTTTTTGATTAACACCAAATGATTCATGGTCTGTCAGTCTGTCTGTCTGTTTTCGACATAGAACTTTGCACAAATGTGCACCAGTTCAAGTCGCCACACTCCCTCCAAGTAACACACAAAGCAACAGAAGAAAGTAGAAGAAATGCATTATAGAGACAGTAAGCAGAGGGGTGAGACAAAGGAATAGTAATAACCAAGAACAAAACAGTTTCATTGGAGATCATAAGTCACAGGGAGTGGATGCATCTGCGCCAGCCAGCCATTGAGAACGATTTTGAGCCATGTCACCAATTGTTTCAAACCATTGATTTTTACCCTCCCGAGGACCCCAGCCTGGAAGTCTACACCTTCCTACGTGGCTTAGACCAACTGTTGTGGATTTCATTGACTGGTGACAAGTTTTTGTTTGACCTCCGCTAGCTTTTTTCCAGCCTGACCCTATATCCGCTAACATTGCCCATTTGTCGAGGAAGGCGATGACTAGGCATGCATACGTAACACATGTCCCAGCCATCTCAGTCTTTGTATCTTGCCAACTTCGTCGATTGATTTCCCCTGTTTACCTAGTACTCGACGCCTAACCTCAATATTGCTCACCTTATTATGCCACTTTACACGGGAGATAGAGCGCAGGCACCTATGATCAAAGACAGCTAATCTTTTCATGTCTTCCACTCTCAGTGGCCAGGTCTCGCTCACAACCATAAAGGAGGATGGAGTGGATTGCTGAGCAGTACATCCACCCTTTGGTCGATAGGTGGATATCACGTCTACGCCATCTACGTCTATGATTCATGGTATCAAAGGTAAAGCTGCTTTCAGATTCTTATAGTCGCTTAAAATTCAGTTACCCGGTACCAAGCTATAAGTTCAGTTGCCCGACCTGAATAAGGTAGAGTGAGATTTGAACTCAGGATCACAATGACTCGAAGCCGAGTGTTTAAGCCAATAGACCATACGCCTACTCCAATTTCGAATAATCATTTCTGATTGTTTATTAATACAACTGAGCATGCCGAGCTATCGCCTTCTTCGATGATCAAGTTTGTTTCAATTAACTGAATGATGTCAGTAAACTGTGCAACATCAAATGCATTGTTATTATTATCATCATAAGAATTGAATTTGGGCATTGCCTAAGAATATAGCTGCATAATACTTGTGTCATTCCATCCGTTCCATATAGAATATAGAGTTTGAAGCTGTTAAATTTTCACTGGCCTCACTTACAACCCTTCCTCTTTTTTGGGTTTACTGTCGGCCAGTAAGTTGGACGTAGTTTAGGATTTGATATAAGAATAAAACTTGTGCACTATAGTAGAGTGTAATTCCATTATGGGTAAATTTTGTTTTGATAAATCCTCACAGTGTTATACAGTAATGTTCACTGATGACCACGTTTCAAGCACAATTTATTGCTGCTCATAATCATATCAAGGTAATCACAGGATTTCCTAGCTTCATTTATATAGTTCCATTATTTTTCACTTGATTTGATAGGCAGTAGTATTTTCCATATTTCTGGTATGAGTGATGAATCATTCCTATTGCATGTGTTTGGTGTAGACTCGATGAACAAGGATTCAGTAATCAATCTCTCTCTCCACCTACATAGATTACTTTTTAGAATTTTAACCCTCTCCCACCATGCTATTGTGTGGTTGTGTGTTACTGCGTGCAGTGCAGTTGCTGATCTTTTTTCTAAATTATTTATCTTTTCAAGGTCAACCATTCTTACCTTCGCTAGATTCTTATGTTCCGACAATCTGACTACCCCTGACCTACTAGTTTGACCTATGTAGTTGACCTAACTCATAGTCATTGCTAGGTATTTTGTAGACTATATTATTCTGTCTAAGTGGGTCAACCTGCAGGGTCCTTTAACCTACAGAGCTTGTCCTACCTGAGTGAGTTTGTAGGTTTGAATGCCACTCTAATTCCTACTTTATTGAGAATCCTACTAAGTAGAGTCTTAGGTCTCCCCTCCTTATATGGTATAACAGTAGGTGACTTATATTCTCTCTTATTTATGTTATCATTACCAGTTTCACAATTATTTTTATTTTGCTTTTGGCCTTTACTGATCTTCCTAATGAATTGTATAGGATGGTTATTTGACACTAACTAGCTATTCTTCTATCTGTTTTAATTCATCATTTAGGTCTTTTCTTGTGCCACTTAGTTTTACTGCTCGGTTTGTTAGACACTCAGCTAAGCCTGCTTTAACACTTAAGCAATGAGATGAATTAAAGTCTATTAGAATGAGTTGGTTTTCTGAACAGATCGAAGAAGCCATTAATGCTAAACGAACCATAACATAAAGTGCATAAAAAAGTTAGAAAGAAATTCACAGTAAGAAAAAATAGTGGTAAAACTACTGACTATTACATGAATTAGAAAGAATTTAAGACAGTTACAGTGTTTACCGTTTAGGGACGAAACATCTGAAATCCTATATGGGATTCTTAATAAATCAGGAACTAGGGTAACATTCAAGCCTAGAAACTCACTTAAGGACAAGCTGTGTAGCCCTAAGTACCTTAATAACCTAATGATTAGACAACATAACTGATTCTCTAAAACACCTTGCAGTGACTGTGACGTCAATCCCATAGGTCAGAGCAGTAGATTGCGCGCAATCAGGTTATCGGAACATAAAAATTTAGCTAAGTACAGAATGACTCACACAAGAAGATGAATAGTAATTTGTAATATGTACACTAACACATAATCATACTGTGGTGAGAGCTGGCTGCAAGTCAAAATTGTAGACAACAATTTGCGTCAATGTTCATATCCCGAATCAGGGTCACAAGAAAAACAATAACAAAGCTTAACCTTGAGAAAATCACCAGCCAATTACAGAGGAGTTAATTTGCTGAAATATGATTCGCAGATATGTGGCTTGATTTTTTGAGGAACGGCCACAAAGGGATAACATAATAACCTTCTGCGAGAAAACAACCAATCAGAAGAGGTTGCTTCTCCGCTAACAATAAGGTACATAAAAATCTATAAATACCTCTTAATTTTCTCAATAAACGATCCGTTGCCTGTCCCTTGTCTTCTTCTGTCGTTACAACACAAGGTGGGACACCTGTTGTTCTGAAAAGTAATATAGGCATGCGGTTAGAAAGACTAGCCACAGAATTCGTGTCCGTCCAGTCTACACAAAACACATGCAATAAGAATGATACGACGCCGACACCAGAGATATAGAAAGGATTACTACCCATACAATCAAAGGACTAGAAATAATGGAATTATAAAGATAAAGTTTGAGAGTAATGTGAGTACCTTGATATGATCAACAGTTCTTTTTGTTCTGAGTAGGACATAGGGCTTTGAAGTTTCAGTAGCATTAGTTTCCTTATTCTTACAGATTGGGGTTGTTTGCCTCACACCCAATTTTCACTCTGATAGGCGGCTTATTACCATATCGCGAACCAGACTAAGCTCAGTTTAGGAGTCCATTAGCCTGGGATTGAACCACGAACCACACATGTGGTTGGCTAGCATTCCACTGCTGAAGCAGCACATGTGCGTCGGTGGAACAGTGGTTAGGACTCTCGCCGACCATGCACATGGTCCGAGGTTCCATCCCCTGCCGACGCACACCTGATATCTATGGTCGGCCTGCAAAATTTGGGCTACCGATATCCATGATGAAAATTCCATACTTGTACCAAAAATACAGTGTGGAGTCAAGCTGCAGTAAAGAAAATTGGTTGACTGTTCTGATTCGTAGGCTTAATGTACGCAGCTGAAAATTGATGATATTTATATCTCAACATTGACACCTTCGTAATCTTGCATAATTCATTCCTTCGTATCTGTATTATACCAGTTACTTAACTGAATAATTACCAACTAAAATAATGTAAAAGAAATATAAAACAATTAGTCCCTTTGGAAGTTAACTGATAGATGGTGACCAGCATTGGAATCCAGGAGGTGCGTTTCTTCCTATTTTGGGTCTCGTCATCTGGATGCACCTGCACTCCCCAGTGAGTGATGATTTTCCCACCGAGGCTGGAAGCCATTGCCCATAGTTTCCAAAGCCAAAGCGTTATCCGCTAGACCACTTGGGCCACGAGAGTCACCTCTTGTGCAACAGGTCATATTAATTATTTAATTCAATTTTAGATTTACCCGTCGATTGATTGGACCGAAGTGAATTAAATAGTTGGTCCTTTTGATAAATTTGAATAAGGCATTTAGAAGACAAATTTTGTGGGGTGATGGTATCATTTCGTAGTTTTTCTACAATCTCAGTTGTCAGCTCGAAGACTTCGGTCAGTCATCGAGCGAACATTCTACGCCGCATCTCTTTCCCTCACATCTCGACCATTTTTGATCCCTGTATCTACGATTAAAGGACTAAATTCTGTAGACTCTACTTCAAACTGTATCTACAAGTTCGCCTGCAATTGCGGTTACACCTATGTAGATAGAACCAATGGAATGTTCCAATGTGGTCGTCGAAAGGAACATGTTCCGAAATGGTTAATTAAGACACAGAAAATCCCAATGCAAATAATCGGAATAGAAACCCATCATCATCTATTGCAATTATTGTTTCCTTTAATTCCTAGAGGAACATAGGGCTTCGGCCGCACATCTCCATTGCTTTCGGTTCTCTGCCAACGTTTTCGCCTGGCTCCAAGTCTGCCCACACGCTTTTATCTCCTCTTCACATGACCTCCTCCAAGTCACCCTCACACTGACGACCAACTCGCCGCTTCCCATTCGGGTTCCACTCGAGCAATGGCTTGTCTAGTGATGTCACTTGATGGTTTCCTTAGAGTATGGCCAGCCAATCCACCTCCATTTCTTCCTGCTTATTTTTCGCACAATCGGTTCCCGGTTGTTTCGCTCCCAGATATCTCTGTTGCTGATCTATTCTGGCCGGCCATCTGATCTTGAGTAGTATTGAGCGAAGACAGCTGTTGATGAAGGTATGTAGCTTGTTTGAAGTACCCTTCGTGACGCGCCACATCCATTGCAAATTATCTGTTAATTTCTGGTCACAAAATCAATATTAATGACTGCTTCACAGTTATTTCACATAAGTCTAATCCAAGGTTATTAAAGCTGATGGAAGCACTTAGGATTAATCACATACATACTAAACTATGTGTACTTCAACCTTCGTCTACCATGGACTACTTGACCTATTTAAAAATATGATTGGTCATTAGTATGTACTTTTGTTTGCTTTTTTATTTAACTGAGTAATTGTCATGCATTTTATCTTATTATTATTGTGAACCATGTTGTTTGGTAAAGCGATTGTAAAGAAACTATGAAATGAAAATGTCATCTTGCTTAAAAGAAAACACTTAATTCGTACTGTTTATTTTTCTCCCTCTCTCTTTCCCTTCTGTTTCACTATTTCAGTCTGAAAATTACTCAAAGAATGTACTGTCTATATTGGATCTATTGCTTAAACCAGAGAAAAAGTTATCCGGATTTTTAGGAAATCCACCAGAACGTGAGTTGTTTATCCTGTTTTCAAAGATATCACGTATGTGTGTATATTCAATTATTCACCGGAGTTTTGTTTATTTTAGAAACTAGATTATTTTTTTTTCTGCATCATTCAATTCCTGTGCATTCCGAGTGGAACATTGGGCTTTAACTGTGAACTTTTGAAGCTTTAGTAGCAATGCTGTTTATTTTATGGGTGTGTGGGGGGGTGGGGTTGATAGCCTCTCATTCAGACTTCCTTCTTCACAGAGATTACTGTTGGTTAAGATGGGTTTAAAATTGCGTCGGCCGGAGATCAAACCTTGGACTACATGTCTGTCTGTCTGTGTCTGCCTGTTTTCGACATAGAACTTTGCACAAATGTGCGGAAGTTCAAGTCGCCACATTCCGTGTAGCACGCGAAGCAAGAGAAGAAAGTACAAGAAAAGCATAATAGAAACAGTGAGCAGAGGTGTGAGACAAAGGAGTAATAAAGAAATACAAAACAGTTTCATTGAAGATCATAAGTCACAAGGAGTGGATACATCTCCGCCAGCCATTGACAACGGTTTTGAGCCATGTCACCAATTGTTTCCAACCATAGATTTTTACCGTCCCGAGGACCCCAGCCTGGAAGTCTACACTTTCCTACGTGGCTTAGACCAACTGTTGTGGATTTCATTGACTGGTGCCAAGTTGGACTACATGAGTCTTGGTTGGGCAGTATTCTGCCTCTGAATCACCGATGTGTACTTAGAAGTTAGAAATTCAGCATAATTTATCAGAATATCATGAATAATTCTCATTCACTTATATTAATGAAAGAACAAACCAAGTAGTGTTCAGCAAAGACGCTCTTTTCTGGCAAATCCACTTTTTTTCTCTAGCTGCACGCAGTGAGATAAAGAATTTAATGGGGGAGTTGTGAATCAGGCAGAACATAGAAACAAAGAAAAATATGATGTCGTGTACAATTTCGAAAGACATACATAAGTTAATGAGTTAAAAGGACATTAATGAAAGCAAAACACGTAGATCAGCGAAGAGTCTCTTTTCGGCGGCGAATTCATTTTCTTAGCTGTACAATCGCAAATGTATGTATATGTGTTATTTTGTATGTATGTATACATTAAGTTTGTCAAACAAAATTGGAATTGGTTATGGTTATTTTAACTAAACAGGTGAAGATTGGTTATTGGAGTTACATAATATAAAATCAGTCAAGAAAATTAGATCTTAATGAAATTAGGGTAGTAACAAAGGTGATGAGTTGTCACAAACAGTTTTTAAAAGAAGTTATGTAATAATAATATGACTAGTTTGATGAGTGAGTTTTACTCAGGATACACACAGAAGCAAAGTAGATAATACGAAACTATGTAAGAGATCTAAGTGAATACAAGAATTAGAAGCAATTGAAGAACAGGCAAAGAAACAAAATTAAGTCATCAAAATAAAAAAAATCAAATCAAATCAAAAAGTTGTTACCATGAGAGTAGAAGTGGTTGAGTAATCCTCTTTTGTATGCACAGCTCCGATTTTCCTATGCGAATGGTCAGAGCTTCAGCGATACAAAGAAGACGAAACCGTATTGCCTTTGGTAGGTTATTCTTGACTCTGTAGATTACTTTGAAGGAGGCGTTTGTTGAGATGGGAATGATTAGTGTTAACCAGGTTTTCAATTCTCGCACTCCTCATTGCACCACTATTGCCTTTTCGCAACCATTCTGGCTGGATAGTGTTCTTGAATCCTCTTGGACAGGGTGCACGTTGAACAACCGATGCACCTGGCTCCACAGCAGCAGGTGAACTGATATACGCACATTGAAGTGGTCAGATGCGGGATCATGTCCTTGAGGCTTCTGCATATCATTGGGCAACTGGAGAACACTATTCTTAGCGTTACTGCAAGGTCTGTTCTTAGAGATGACGTAATCCTTCTCTTGAGAATATCGCTTGTCAAATCTCTCTTGAAATCCAAGTTCATGTAGAGTTTCTTTTTAGGCGCAATTAAAGTTTCGTTTCTATGAATTATTGGTTTGATATTTTTTTCGATGAATCGTATTAGGTATCCATTTTGGATGAAGATTTCTTTTAGAATATCTAATTCTGTTTCCAGAACGTCCGAACTACAGATTCGTCGGATGCGGGTGGCAAGTGATTTAATTAAATTTCGCTTTTGTTGAATGGGTACTCAGCTATAGAAGCTTGTTAGTTGACCATCCCACGTAGGTTTTTTATGGATTGATCTTCTTAGGCTCCTATCAGCTCCTATCCGCATCCGTATTATGTACTTTGTTCCTGTGTGTATCCTGAGTAAAACTCACTCATCAAACTATTCATATTATTACATAACTTCTTTTAACAACTGTTTGTGACAACTCATCACCTTTGTTACTACCCTAATTTCATTAAGACCTAATTTTCTTGACTGAATTATTATTAACTATGACTATAAACTCTCATCACTTTTGTTACTATCCTTTGAGGATATATATATATATATATACGATTGTGCAGCTGAAAAAATGAATTTGCCGTAAAGAGTCTCTTCTTTGAAGACTACTTGTCTCGCTTTTTCATCAGGAACTTATGTTGTTTTTGCTTGTAAAATACGCGTTATTTATTTACCCTCTTCCAGAAGTTCTACTCTGCATACTTTTATAAGTGTTTAGCAGACTTGTATGCATAATGAATTATGTGTGATATAATCGTGTCTGAATTCAATGACGTGGATCAAAGATTTTTCATATACACAACGTCATGAACTTATGTGGCTCAAACCAACAGTTGACGACTTCGTGGATTGATTCTAGGACTTGATTTGACCATTCACAACCCTTTTTTGCTAATCTAATCTAATGTCACTAACACATTACTGGCTCAGGGAGACGATGGACTGGTATACACAACACCTGCCCTAACCGTCTTAGTCGATACAGCTTTATAAGTTATTGATTTTCCCTCCTTATATGACTTTCTAAGGTAATATTACTCACCCTTACTACTATATTACACCACTTCAAACACAAATGGCCTCTTCGAGTCTACTACTTTCAGTGGTCATGTCTGACTGCTATTCAGCGGACACGTCCCTGAGTGGTCGCTTGATATCACGTCTACTCCAGGGATGACGTAAGTTGACAGATACCATCTGGGCCTTTTGTAACTGTGCTCAAATCAGTCGATTAGTGTTGATGGAACTTCTAAAATCAATGTAGTGGTCGAAATGCCCAACCATTTCATTGCTTATCTTTAGACTAGGAAGGAATGCGGATCAGTCCTGTAGAGCATCGTCTTAAATTTGACAGAAATGAGTCGCAGGACAAAGATTTCTGTTCAAGGTGTTCAGAAGACTCTTCCTTTTATCAGCGTAGGTACCTTTCCTTTTCTTCCAAACTTTTTGTACTTATAGCGTGAGGATATTCTCTAAAACCTCTGAATCAGCAAACTAAAATTAAATCTACTGAGGATCTTTTATCGCTCTTGTTTTATAGAATTCTGATTATGAAATTTATAGTAAACAGTCCCGGTCGATAGCTGCTACCTTGTCGTGATGGTCGGGCTTGAATACCGTAATGACCCGACATGTTAAACTGACTGGGACTCTGTCCCTGCAGGTCTTACCATGTCAGGAAGGTTGTTTGGATAGCGGTTAAACTAAAAACAGTTACCATAGGGTACATGGGCTCCAGTATCCAATCGGATCAAATGGCGTATGAACCCATATGGGTCACCGGGAATCATGGTAATGCAGCTCCTGACGCTGCTCCACTGCCTTTCGGATTAGACTCCAAGTCAAAGGCTCGGGGGGGGGCGGTCCCTTAATAAAACCACCTGCTTCGGTCTGGGCGCCCGGGAAGTATCTCAGCCCTCACACAATGAATTGAATAAAGCAACAAACAATCAATGAAACTTATCGCGTACTATTACACGTGTTGCAATTTCCTTCTTTCTTCCCTTCCCGATGATGGTTAACGGATACTGTTTGAATTTGTTAAGCATGTCTGTTTTCGATATGACAGAGAAGATTTGTAGCTCAGGTGGATGATTTTGATGTGGTTTTGTTCTCTGAGCTGGATGGTTAATTTGCGAAGCTTTCATCACCCTACTGGGTGACATCTTCAGCGCATACTTCAATTTACTGAAGTGAGCTTTTAGATTTCTCCACGAGTTTATTAATCATCTCTCCTGGTGGGTGACCTTGGACGTGATTGGTTGTTTGTGTGTGTTTTCACATCTTCTAGGTTACTTGTATTGGAACTGACTGTTTCTTTGATTTGAACTTCAAACACAAAGGGTCAAAGTTCAAATCAAAGAAACAGTCAGTTCCAATACAAGTAACCTAGAAGATGTGAAAACACACACAAACAACCAATCACGTCCAAGGTCACCCACCAGGAGAGATGATTAATAAACTCGTGGAGAAATCTAAAAGCTCACTTCAGTAAATTGAAGTATGCGCTGAAGATGTCACCCAGTAGGGTGATGAAAGCTTCGCAAATTAACCATCCAGCTCAGAGAACAAAACCACATCAAAATGACTGTTTTCTTTCCAAATGAAGTTCTTTATCCGTTCTCTACTTGTATATATATATATATATTCTCTTCTTTCTTTTTTTTTGATCTATGTTGTTTTATTATTATTGTGTGGCGCATCCTCATCGGTGCCATATTGTACCAAGTTTTTATGCATTTAAATAAATAATAATAAATAAATTGTAAACAGTATGTAGATTACTTTATATGTTTGTTTAACGAAGTATTTATCATTTTGATTGGTTGAGTTCTAAGTGAAAGTTGAATAGAAATTGGGGTTAAAGAAATAAATATTAATATACGTAAATTTTCTGTTTCTTCTTTCTTCTTATAGCAAAAACTGATTTGGCTCGCCATTGTAGATTTTCACATTTACGAAATTATTTTACTCAAGTGTGGAAGTCATTCTTAAACAATGATGTAAGTTTTATAATCTCATTATGATTATTATTACTCCTTTAGGTTCCGACTGGAATGTAGGACTTCAACACCACATCCCCACTTCCCTCTCTTCTCTTCAGTCTTTTTTTAACTGACCGGTCTGATTGCCCGTAGGCTTTCATCTCTTCGTCCTCCTCCTCCATGTCACCTCTAGATCGAGACCCAACTAATCGTTTCTAACTCGAGTCCAACCCAAGGAACTGGCTAGCGCGCGATGTTACTCAACGGTTTTCTTAGTGTATGTCTTACTCACCTGCATTTTCCTTGGCACATTTGTTGAGCGATTGGTTCTTGGTTGTTGCGTTCGCGAAGCCCCTCGTTAATTATCCTTCCTGGCTGTTCACCTGATCTTCAGGATGGAAAGAAGGCAAGTGTTGATGAAAGTCTGAAGTCTGTTCGAACTGATTTTCGGGATGGTCCTCATGTCAAGTTTTAAAGTCGCATAGAAACACTGACTAGCTTGACATTAGTGTTTAATATCCGAGTTTCTTTTTCCTTATGCTTAGTACGGTAGATATTCACAATGATGTCAGATTAATGAAGGTCTCTCTTGCCTTTCTGATCTTGACTGGCTTTAATATCCTCATCTGTGCATCCGCCTGTAGTTGAAACGGTGCTGTCTCTAGACAAGTGAAAGAAATGACTTCTTTCAAACTTCTTCTTTGAATAGTGATTGATGCTTCTCTAGGTCTACTTGTAGTCCTGTCATCGCTGCTTCTTCTACCAACTTGCTGGTTTTCATCTGTTTACTTCTACTAGTTTATGCGCCACTAGACATAAGCCATCCGGAGAATCGAGATTTTCAAGAATCTTTTCGTCTGTCCAACGTATTGCTGTCTCCCTGCTCCCTACGGTCTTCTGCATCATCCAGTCCACCATAATCCAGAATATCCTCGTTGACAGTATGCAACTTTTTCTTACTCCTATCTTCACTTCAGAGGTTCCACTGAGTCTTCGGTCGTGAATTGATTGACATATAGCATCGTTGTGTGCCTGTTAAATGATGTTGATAAAGATTTGAGACACCCTGTAATGTTGCAACAGCTGCCAAATTGCTGAATCACCAACTGCGTAGAAGGCTTTTTCAAAGTCGCTAAAGTTAAAGCAGAGATTTGTCTGCTTTCTTCGATGATGATGATGATGATGATGCATAGTGTTGCGATTTGATTCGCACATAATTTACTTGTTTCGGGTGGAGTTCTGCATCTAAAGCATCTTTTAATCCCTCCAGGATGTGGCGACCTAATATTTTACTTAGAGTGGACAGGAACATGATTCCGTGCCATTTGGGGTATAGGTCTAAGTTTCCCTTGTTTGGTAGTTTAACGAGGTGTCCATTCTTCTAATCAATAGGTACTTTTCCTTCCTTCTAAACTGTATTCACTATTGGCGTGACGATATCCACTGAGATCTCTGGATCCATCTTTAGTACTTTGGTAAACTTCTACAATTCCATATTAGTTTGTTTATTAGATGTATCACACAGTGAAACAGTATTGTATACTGGATGACGTTTCGAACACAATTTATTGTTCATAATCATATCAATTGTGGTCACACGACTTTGAGATTTGAGTTTTATAGTTTTTTCTGTTTTCTCCTATTTGTCCTTTGGGCAGTAGAATTTTCCATATATCTGGGACAGGTGTTGAATCGTTTCTATTACATGTATTTGCCGTTGATTCGATAAACAGCTTCTGCTATCAATCTCTCCCTATACCCTGTGACATTAGATTTTAAAACTGTCATCCTATCCCATCCTATTGTATGGTTGTGTGTAACTGCATGTAGTGCTATAGCTGAACTATTTTCTAGATTTCTTATCTTATTCGGGTCAACCAATCTAGATTTAGCTAGATTTTTATGTTCGGCTAGTCTGACTGCCCCTGTTCTACTAGTTTGACCTATGTATTTGACCTCACAATCATTGCAGGGTATTAGATAAACTAAATTGTTTTGTTTTAATGGCTCTACAGGATCCTTTAACCGACAAAGTTTGTTTCTAATTGAGTTTGTGGTTGGTTTGAATGCCAGCCACTTTTATTCCTGCCTTGTTAAGAATTCTGCGTAAGACTTCCGAGGTTCCTTCTTTGTATGGAATTATTGTTGATGATTTACATTCCTTATTGTTGGTGTCGTTATTAATATTATTATTATTATCACTATTATTACTACCATTATTATTATTATTGTTATTATTATTATTATTGTTATCATTATTATTATTATTATCACTATCTCTGTTATCATTATTTATTTTATTTTTACATTTACTTACATAGTTCTTGACTAATTTATCCGGGTAATTATTAAGTTTCAAGGCTTCTTTTATGTGTATCACTTCCTGTCTTAGATTTTCCTTGGTACTACTTAGTTTTTGTGCTCTGTCATTTAAACATTTCACTAATCCTATTTTTACTGACATAGGATGGGATGATCGGAAATCCAAATATCTGTTTGAATGTGTGGGTTTTCTGTAAACACTAGTGTTTAACTTCCCATCTTCTTTCCTTTTTACGTTGCAATCTAACATTGGAAGTTCCCCTTCCTGACTTTCCAATTCATAAGTGAATTGAATTGCCTCTACCTTCGAGTTGATGTGTTCGAAAATCGAGCACAAACTATTGCTCATAATCATATCCTGTTGCTCACACAACTTTTTCCTTCATTTATATACATGTGTGGAATTGATTAGATATTTGAATAAAAATCAATATGTGATAATGTACATTGAGAAATAATAGTACGAGTGTTATTGATCCACGAAGAAAGGTTACCTCGTGAAACTACCAAAGAAGGGCGACTTACGCCTCACTCTGCAGGAACTGGCGAGGAATCATGCTCCTGTCGACGCCAAGTAAAATCCTGAGTCGCATCATCCTGGAGAGATTAAAGGACGCACTGGAGACAGAACTCCGACCAGAACAAGCTGGATTCAGGAAATGCAAATCATGTTCTGACCGAATTGCAAATCTACGCATCATCATCACAGAACAAAGCGTGGAATAGCAATCAACTTTATAGACTTTGAGAAGGCCTTTGACAGCGTTGACCGCGAAGTAATTTGGAAACTACTCGAGTACTACGGCGTACCCCAAATATTCATCAACCTCATTCAACAGCTAGCTGTACGACAACGGCACATGTCAAGTGACCCACAACGGAAAACGCAGAGAGGCGTTTGGATTAAACACATGAGTCAGACAAGGGTGTTTATTATCACCCACGATGATATTCCTAATTGTGGTGGACTGGATCATGAGTCAGACAGTGGGAAACGAAAAGACAGGAATATCCTGGACAGACGTGAAGATCCTAGAAGACCTGGATTTCGCACGTGGATGATTTATGTTTGATGTCACACAAAATGGAAGACTTACAAACAAAAACCGACAAACTGGTCGAAGAAGCAGCTGGCGAAGACAGGACTCCAGGTAAACATAGACAAGACGGAGGTTATGAAAATAACCAACCAACAATAACAACAGCAGCAACATCCAGCGCCAATCACCATCAATGGGAGGGATTTTGATTTGATTTTTGATCACAGCTTGATCCCACACCGTATTTTTGGTACAAGTGTGAAATTTTCAGCGTGGATATCGGTGGCCCAAAATTCGCAGGCCGACCATAGATATCAGGTGTGCGTCGGCGAGGGCTCGAACCCCGGACCATGTGCATGTTCGGCGAGAGTCCTAACCACTGTGCCACCGACGCACAAGGGTACTTTATTCACTTATCTTGGGAGGATTGTCTCAACTACAGGTAGTCGGAATGGACGAGGATGTCACATGGAGATTCGGGAAGGCAGGCGAAACACATTCATCAACCTGAAACCAATCTGGATATCTTCGTCACTCAGCCAGAATCAACAACAAAATTCGGATTTTCAATACGAACGTCAAGTCAGTTCTTCTATACGGATCAAAAACTTGGCGGGTGGGTCACAAAGAATATTTCCAACAGCCTGTTACAAACCTTCATCAACAAATAACTGTCTTCGTTGTATACTGAAGATCAGATGGCTGGGCCGGAGAGAATCACCAACAAGAAACTATGGGCATTAACAAAAAAAATAAGAATCAATCGCCAACCAACAAATATGCAGGAGAAAGTGGAGATGGATGGATTGGACACTCGCTCGCTGAGGAGGCTGGCCGCTGGATGACATCGCGCGCGCGTCAGGCCATTCCTCGAGTGGAACCCGAAAGAAAAAAGAACTCGGCGAGTGGTTCGTCGGTGCAAGGGTGACATGGAGGAGATTGTGTGAAGAGAGAGGAGTTGAAAGAGTATGGACTAACATGGATGCAGGTGAAAAGTACAGCAGAAGGAAGACAGAAGCAAGTGGAGACGTTTAGTTGAAGCCCTATGTTCCACTAGGAACCCAAAGGAGCGATAAATATTAATGACAATAATATTGATCCATTACAATTATATAAGGAATACGACGAGTGTTTTTATAGTCATAATAAGTTACTTGTTAGATTGTTTTGATCTGTTTGAATTGAAATAGAATTTTAAGATTATTTATTATCCTCGTCTGATTTGACTGGCGGTAATAATATCTTCCTTATTTCTGGTATTTGCATTGAGTCATTTCTGTTGCATGTGTTGGGTGTTGACTCAAAGAACCAGGATTCCGTAATCAATCTCTCTCTCCACCTACATAGATTACTTTTTAGAATTTTAACCCTCTCCCACCATGCTATTGTGTGGTTGTGTGTTAATGCATGCAGTGCAATTGCTGATCTTTTTTCTAAATTACTTATCTTCTTAGGGTCAACCACTCTTACCTTCGCTAGATTCTTATGTTCTGACAATCTGACTACCCCTGACCTACTAGTTTGACCTATGTAGTTGACCTCACTCACAGACATTGCAGAATATTTTGTAGGCTATATTATTCTGTCTAATTGGGTCAACCTACAGGGTCCTTTAACCTACAGAGCTTGTCCTACCTGAGTGAGTTTGTAGGTTTGAATGCCACTCTAATTCCTACTCTATTGAGAATCCTACTAAGTAGAGTCTTAGATCTCCCCTCCTTATATGGTATAACAGTAGGTGACTTATATTCTCTCCTATTTATGTTATCATTACCAGTTTCACAATTATTTTTATTTTGCTTTTGGCCTTTACTGATCTTCCTAATGAATTTTATTGCATAGTGAGTTATTTGACACCAACTAGCTATTCTTCTATCTGTTTTGTTTCATCATTTAGGTGTTTTCTTGTGCCACTTGGTTTTACTGCTCGGTTTGTTAGACACTCAGCTAAGCCTGCTTTAACACTTAAGCAATGAGATGAATAAAAGTCTATTAGAATGAGTTGGTTTTCTGTACACACCAGTGTGTAGTTTACCTTCTTCTGTTCGTTTTATTTTACAATCTAACATGATAGCTAATTTTCCTTGTTCATTTTCCGATTCAAATGTGAATTTTATTCCCTCTACTAGTGAGTTTATGTGTGTCAAGAAGCTAGAGAGAGATATGTTCTGTTTTTAACACTGTGAAAGTGTCAGTCATCCACATATCTCCACCATATTTTTGGAGTAGGATTAAATGTACTAAGAGTCATATTTTCCCAGCTGTCCATAATGATGTCTCCTACGATAGGGGATATTGGTGATCCATCCCATAGCTACACCTTCTGTTTGTCTATATATTTTTTACCTTGGAATTTAAAGATAGACGATGTGAGACAGCATAACTGAATTCCTTAAATAATTTTCTCAATGGGTAGCTTTGTCCTATGATTGAGTTCAGGATCCGCAGTTAGTTTGAATTTCAGTTTGAGTTAAAAGGTTTCAAGTTTATAACTCTGGTTGGAAGACTAACTTGTGAACCAATAAGAAGTTGTATCTTTATTATTATTATTATGATTTCCATCACTAATATGTATCTGTTTTAATTTTACCTTTCATCCTCGCCACCTTCTAGTTATCCGATGATACACGCGTATATGCAGTTCGATTTTTAGGCGATGGACATATAACTCGGCTTAGTGAAATTCGTCTACTAGCTGATTATATTCTACCAATTTTTGATCCAGATCCGGAAAATAAGCTATCTGAATCAGAAGCCATGAAATTTCCAACTAGTTGGTCACGTGCAGTTAGTCATACAGTCTTGGGACTGATTGCTAGAGGAGATTTAAATTATCCACGTTTATATATCAGACTGTATCGTTTATTGGATGAAAGTCTATTCCAATGTCCAAATGCTAAACAATTTTTAATTACTTTAGATATATATTTAAGTTCAATGTAAGTATGTACATGAATCTTTTTTGTTTTCTGCGATATAATATGCATTTTCTTTGAATAAAGCTCGTCTATCAGTGCGCGTTGGGTGGTAGAGTGCTCACTAACCACACTTGTGGTCTGTAGCTCGACTCCCAGGGAGGTTGTGCTTGAGCTACCCACCTCTCTTCGATAAAACTGCCATTGAACCTTGAATGCTTGAGCTTAAAGTCCTATGTTCGACTTGAAACGCATAGAAATGAACAAAAGTCGGCTTTGGTTTTAACTCTGTGTGTATTGAACTGTTTCAGCGGTTTTTCAAAGGGTGACTTGAGTGTCCTCTTTCTGATTCCTTGCATTCCGAATGGTATATAGGGTTTGTTCAAGCTTTCAGGATTTCAGTAGTAATGGTAGGTACGGTGTTTAGAGCTGGACGCCGAACCCTCCTTCTTTAATTGGGCTTATTGTCAACTGGTAGACTAGGCGTGGTTAAGGAGTATGTCGGCGGGGAGTCGAACCCGAACCACTTGCCTGGCTGGTAAGAATTGTACCGTTGAGTTACCGACGCCGTTCATATAAGGTTAATTACGAATGAGAACTCTAAAAATTATATACATATGTATGTATTGAAACGCATCTCTGTTTATTTGGTCTAAGCACTTGATGTACAGCCAATCGGTCCCGGGTTCGAGCCCCACTCCACCTACGTCATCCTGCACAACTCTGGGTAGTATCATCAATCTTCCCCACAAAATAATTGTGTGGCTCATAGGCTAATGCATTCGAAATCTATCTTGACCAGCTGAGTTCAAACAAATTTTTGTATTATATATTTATCATTGAAGACTTTTTATGCTACTCATATAGATTAGAGCTGTAGTGGCATACCAACCAACCACTGGTTCAAGTGTTCGAACCCAGCTCCACCTTCCAAGGCTTGGACAGCTAGGTAGTGTCACTAACCCTTTCACACATAATAGGTATGACTTATTGCCAGCCACATGGGATTGTGCAGGTGGTCGTTGAGTAGCGTTTCAGTCTTCTTCACGGAGAGATTGATACATATGTAGGTATGTTTTCAACTCAGTAATATGCCTGCATCTTCAGACTAATTGTCTATCCTCTGATAGGATTTCAGCCGTATTCCGTTTCAGAGTACTCTAGAACTCACTCATAGTTGTTAGTTGGCTGGTTACTATCCTTGTTGAATATAATGTAATGTGTTCATATCACTGTTAAGCGATCTCGTACGGCGAAGGCCGGCGGTTGACTTCTTCTCAAAATGCTGTCATGTGGCCACGCGTTCATAGCATCTGCCTTTACGCGACCATGGTGTTCCATACATAACTGAAAGGATAAATGAGAACGTCCAGCACTTACAACCGGACTGATGAACATGAAGTTTTATCTACGGAGGGGTGCTGGAGAAACCTGATTCTAAACCTATTGTATACACGGCCTCCAGAACACGAACGGATCGAATGGCGTATGAATCCGTTTTATTCACCCGCAACCATAAAAACGCAGCTGCATCATGCCCGGCTGATAACTGCTACCTTGTCGTGATGGTCGGGCTTGAATACCGTAATGACCCAACATGCTAAACTGACTGGGACTCTGTCCCTGCAGGTCTTACCATGTCAGGAAGGTTGTTTGGATAGCGGTTAAACTAAAAACAGTTACCATAGGGTACATGGGCTCCAGTATCCAATCGGATCAAATGGCATATGAACCTATATGGGTCACCGGAGACCATGTCTGTCTGTCTGTTTTCGACATAGAACTTTGCACAAATGTGCGCCAGTTCAAGTCGCCACATTCCGTGTAGCACGCGAAGCAAGAGAAGAAAGTACAAGAAAAGCATAATAGAAACAGTGAGCAGAGGTGTGAGACAAAGGAGTAATAAAGAAATACAAAACAGTTTCATTGAAGATCATAAGTCACAGGGAGTGGATGCATCTGCGCCACTGAGAACGGTTTTGAGCCATGTCACCAATTGTTTCCAACCATAGATTTTTACCGTTCCGAGGACCCCAGCCTGGAAGTCTACACCTTCCTACGTGGCTGGCTTAGACCAACTGTTGTGGATTTCATTGACTGGTGCCAAGTTTTTGTTTGACCGCCGCTAGCTTTTTTCCAGCCTGATCCTATATCCGCTAACATTGCCCATTGTCGAGGGAGGCGATGGCTTGGCATACGTAACACATGTCCTAACCATCTCAGTCTTTGTAGCTTCACGACTTCGTCGATTGATTTCCCCTGTTTACCTAGAACTCGACGCCTAACCTCCATGTTGCTCACCTTATTATGCCACTTTACACGGGAAATAGAACGCAGGCACCTATGATCAAACACAGCTAATCTTTTCATGTCTTCCACTCTCAGTGGCCAGGTCTCACAACCATGGGAATGCAGCTCCTGACGCTGCTCCACTGCCTTTCGGATTAGACTCCAAGTCAAAGGCTCGGGGGAGGGGTGGTCCCTTAATGAAACCACCTGCTTCGGTCTGGGCGCCCGGGAAGTATCTCAGCCCTTATACAATGAATTGAATAAAGCAACAAACAATCAATGAAACTTATCGCGTACTATTACACGTGTTGCAATTTCCTTCTTTCTTCCCTTCCCGATGATGGTTAACGAATACTGTTTGAACTTGTTAAGCATGACTGTTTTCCTTCCAGATGAAGTTCTTTATCCGTTCTCTACTTATATATATATATATATATTTCTCTTTCTTTTTTCTTTTGATCTATGTTGTTTTATTATTATTGTGTGGCGCATCCTTCTTAGTGCCATATTGTACCAAGTTTTTTATGCGTTTAAATGAAATAAAAAATAAAATAAAAGCTGCATCATGACCTTCTAAATCAGACTTCAAGTCAAAGGCTCGTGGGGGTATGTAGTCTCTTACAACAACCACTCACCTCTTTGTGACTGTTCGGACAGTATCCCATCTATCTCACAAACTATGCGATTTCCTGTGGTGCGCATCTCTTGACGTGCGCATAATGTAATGTACCAAGTTTTTGTCTTTTAATGAATAATGACTGGTAAAATCAAAGTCAAATATCAATCATTAATCCAGATCAAATTTCTTATCCTATTTCATTATTTATATGATTAATTAGTTTGTTGATATGCTTTCAATGTCTCCTCTTCTCTTTTCTAGGCATTTAGCTACATCAGTTGTTGCCTCTTTTATAAAACGGTTATCCCAGTTATCCTTATTCAGTCCACCGTTATTAACACCTGCCATTCTTTTAATCATCTCAAATTGTTTAAAACGTCATTCTCAATGTCGGATTTTAATTAACTATAGACCGAAACGTTCCCATGTAGTAAATAACACACAGGCTGATCATGACGGTGATGCTGATGATAATGGTAATGTTGATGAGAACTCGAAAAACACAATGGATGTAAGTGCCTGTATATTTTTTCTTTCCACTGAACAGCTATTAATGTTTTCTTATCAGAATCATAATGTAGATATAGATAAATCAGGATTTTCCTCAATGCGGTAGATTGGATAATGTGACAGACAGCGGGCAACGAGGAAACAGGTCTAAAATGAAGCCTCACGAAAAACTTGGAAGATCTGGACTTCGCCGATGATATATGTCTAATTTCCCAGAAACTGGAAGATGTGCAAGTGAAAAGCAACAAGTGGGCAGAAGAAGCATCCAAAGAAGATAGGACTTCAGGTGACTAAAGAGAAAACAGAGGTAATGAAGATTCATGGCCAACAGCAACAGCAAACAACAATCAGCATAAATGGGATAAATCTGAAAAAAAGCAGCCTCCTTTACCTGCCTACTTGGGAAGGATCGATTCAACTACAGGCGGATGAAACTAATGAGAATATCAAAGCGAGGATCGGGAAACCAAGGCAAACTTCCACTACTCCTAAGTCTGTGTGGGGACCAACAACACTCAGCATCAAAAATAAGATCCGGATTTTCAACTCCAATGTGAAGTCAGTGCTTCTATACGGATGGATCAGAGACTTGGCGCATTATGAAGAGCATTTCGAACAAACTACAGACCTTCATCAACAGCTGTCTTCGCTCAAAACTACTTAAGATCAGATGGCCGGCCACAAAAGATGAACAATAGTGAGGAGTCTCTGGGAGAGAACCAACCCAGCAGGAACCAACTGGGCAACAAATACACAGGAAGAAATCGAGGTGGATTGGCCATACTCTGAGAAAACAAAGCATCAAGTGAGTGACATCACACGACAGGCCATCGGTCGATTGGAACCCGTATGGGAAGCGGTGAGTTGGTCGTCAGTGTGAGGGTGACATAGAGGAGGTCATGTGAAGTGGAGATGGAACCATGTGGGTAGACGTGGAGTCAGGTGAAAACTCTGGTGGAGAAGGGAACGCAATGGAGACTTGTGGCTGAAGCCCTATGTTCCTCTAAGAAATAAAGGAGACAATAATAATATATGTTGGATTTACTCAATGTATGCAATATTCCTATATGACGTAATTACAACACGCATTTGAGAAAAGTAATTTCTGTCCCTAACTTTCCTTCAATGCTGTGCATTTATTTAACAACTTATATGTAGAGATTATTGTCAGGTAGTAAGCAACTAAGATGAATCAATGTGTATAAGAAGAAATAACACTGTGTGGAAAAAAATAAGTAATAATCTTAGGTGTAATCGAGAGAGTCGACAACTAAGTAATTAAGTAGTGAATAACATTGGGACCTTGTCTTTGACGTTTTTGGTGGATAACAGCATGTTTGCAGATGGTGAAGCATAAACATGTGGTAAAGAGCGTGCTTAGAAGTGCTCTCGATGGACAGCTTCGGTGAACTTCGCTAATTGTATCTCTCTTGAATTTCAGATTCACAGTTGGCTGTTTCTTCGGTACATCTATCATCTAAATATCTAGTTGTCAGTGTAGCAACTTGCTGTGGTGTGAACACTAACCTAAATTTTTTCTTGAGTTACCCTCCGTCCAAGACTGTCTCGATGATAGCAAAAAGACAGTTACTTCGCGATATCTGTCTGTCTGTTTTCGACATAGAACTTTGCACAAATGTGCACCAGTTCAAGTCGCCACATTCCGTGTAGCACGCGAAGCAAGAGAAGAAAGTACAAGAAAAGCATAATAGAAACAGTGAGCAGAGGTGTGAGACAAAGGAGTAATAAAGAAATACAAAAAAAAATTTCATTGAAGATCATAAGTCACAGGGAGTGGATGCATCTGCGCCACTGAGAACGGTTTTGAGCCATGTCACCAATTGTTTCAAACCATAGACTTTTACCGTCCCGAGGACCCCAGCCTGGAAGTCTACACCTTCCTACGTGGCTGGCTTAGACCAACTGTTGTGGATTTCATTGACCGATGCCAAGTTTTTGTTTGACCGCCGCTAGCCTTTTTCCAGCCTGACCGTATATCCGCTAGCATAGCTCGTCGAGGGAGGCGATGGCTTGGCATACGTAACACATGTCCTAACCATCTCAGTCTTTGTAGCTTCACGACTTCGTCGATTGATTTCCCCTGTTTACCTAGTACTCGACGCCTAACCTCCATGTTGCTCACCTTATTATGCCACTTTACACGGGAAATAGAGCTCAGGCACCTATGATCAAAGACAGCTAGTCAGTGTTTTCATGTCTTCCACTCTGAGTGGCCAGGTCTCGCTCACAACCATAAAGGAGGACGGAGCGGACTGATGAGCAGTACACCCGCCCTTTGGTCGATAGTCGAACATCTCGTCTACGCCAGAGTCGGCGTAAATTGGTAAATGCGAAACGAGCCCCCTGTATTCGCGATAACATATTAATACTCAAAATTACCCCAACAACGCCATTAAGCAGCTATACAGATCAGAGAATTCTCATGTACAAAATAAGTAATGTACATGAAAATTAGTTAACCGAAAATCAAGTGTAATAATTGCCTGAGAATCATGTAGAATGTGTATTTGCAACAGGGTGAAATCCAAACCTTGTTAACAAGAATCACGTACCGAACACTTCCTTCAGATATTTCAAGGTCAACCCCCCGTAGGAGACTTTGACTTCATTTAAACAAAAACCATAATCCTAAAGCAATACATTATTAACACAACACAACCTCAAAAGAGAAGCATTTAAATTAAGGATTAAACAAAAACGAAGACAAATAATTAGGATTAGTATATTCAAGCGTTGAATGGCAGGGATTTGATTGGTTTCAGGATTTCATCATAAACTGGCGTTTGTTAGAGGACCATTTGGAAAACCTTCAGAGAGTACTAGATAGCTATTTCATCCTAGTTTAGAACTCTTCATCAGTACGCCCCCACTACGGGAGTTTGGACCCGGAACCTTCTGATTACAAGGTAAGCTTGTAAAACAGTAAGGTGAAGAGTCCCAAACTAGGACGAAGCGTCGGTGGCACAGTGGTTAGGACTCTCGCCGACCATGCACATGGTCCGGGGTTCGAGCCAACGCCAGCGCACAACTGATATCTATGGTCGGCCTGCGAATTTTGGGCTACCGATATCCACGCTGAAAATTCCACACTTGTACCAAAAATACGGTGTGGAATCAAGCTGTAATCAAAAATAAAAATAAATAAATAAAATAATACTGTACTCCCTGTAGGTTTTCCAATGGTCCTCGAACCGTTATCAGTTCATGCATGATGAAATCCTGAAGTATGAATTAAACTAACAAGTGATATGCAAACGTCAAAACAATGATATATAGTCGAGGCGAAAAGAGGATAATAATTACGAAGTTAGCTGAAGTGTCTAAATAAGTATCAATGTTCGTAAACAGATCGTTTGGTGGGGGGATTAGCTTAACAGTTTTTCCATTACAGTCAAACCTCTTATACACCTTGGTTTATTTTTGTTATTGACTAGCGGTAGTAATCTTTGATCTTTGTTGTCAATTAACATTTTACATGTATATAAACCCCGTTGATAACTAACTGTCCATCTGTGAAGTTACCATGTTACGAAAAGATTAAAGTTGCTTTATTTCTATTTGATATATTTTCTCTTCTGATTTCTTAGGTACAGTCAATTGGTGATCCGTACAATTGGGAAGCAGAAACCTTTGAAACATCTAAAGCATTAGATAGTAGTTTATGGGAAGTATCTGCTCTGACTGGTCATTATTCACCGAGTATCTCCACGTTAGCAAAGAAAATTTGTAATCCTGATCCATTGGATTCAAGTGTTATTACTGTATCTGATCTAATTGATAAAGAGATACAGGTAAGCCGATTTCTGGCGTTCAATAGCTTCACTGGTGAAGTCTTTGATATTGAATTCATATCAAAAATTGGCTTTATCCTAATTGTATTGTACTGTACTGTATTTTTATTATATTGTAGGCTTAAAGGGTTAGGTAAGAAAAGCGAATCAGTCGATATGATTGTGAAGCTTCTATTAAGAGATGGTCAAGACACGTGTGTTGTGTCGGTGGTTCAGTGTTAGAATAATCGCCAACCACGCCACACGTGGTTCTAAACCTTGCTAGCCGATAGTGAGTCCAGTAAAGAAGGGAGGTTGAGCATGAAACTAGCAACCCTACCCGGTTAGAAGGCGTCACTTCTACTGCAGCCTCAAAAGCTCAAGCTTAAAGTCGTATGTTCCACCAATCGGAAGTCAAAATAGTAAACTAGTATAAATTTATTTTGTTTCATTTAAACGCAGAAAAAACTTGGTACAGTATATGGCACCAAGAAATATGCGCCACACAATAATAATAAAACAACATAGATCAAAAGTAAAAAAATATAAGTAGAGAACGGATAAAGAACTTCATCTGGAAAGGAAAACATTCATACTTTACCTGTTCAAACAGTGTTCGTCAACTATCATCGGGAAGGAAAGAAAAAAGAAGGAAATTGCAACACGTCCGCCATTGATTACGATTCTTGGCCATATCCGATAGCGTTTTGAGCCATCGATTTGAGCTATCTCTCGGACCCCAACTAGGGAGTCGTGACACACCAACCGATGCTAATCTAGCACAAAAATCCTTCATCCCGCGACGCCACGTCATGGACTGACCACCTCTCCGCCTTTTCCATCCCGTCCCAGGGCTAGCGAACAGAGGCCTGTACGAAAGCCTCTGGGATGACATTTGCAGCACATGTCCAAGCCACCGAAGCCGGTGTTTCCAGATGACGACACTTAATGAATGGTGATCTCCACTGTGTTCAAACACACGTCGCCGAACCTCAGATTTACTCATGCGATGATGCCATCGAACGCAAGCAATCCTGTGGAGACAGCGTTGACTGAACACGCAGAGTCGCCGCACATCCTCAGCCCGGAGAGGCCAGGCTTCACGGGCGTAGAGCAATGCAACTCGCACCGAAGAATTGTATACCCGACCTTTGACAGCCAGACTTACTTCGCGACGGCTCCAGAGGTGGCTGAAGTTGATGTATGCAACCCTAGCCTTCATTATACGGTTGGAAATCTCATCCGTCACCCCTCCGCCAGATACACAAACTTATCAACAACTTCAAGCGGTTCACCCGCATATTTATTGTAGTATAAATAAGAACACGTGTTACACATTCCGAGCCATTGCCTTCCTTGTTGAGCAGTGCTAGCTGATATAAGATTGCAGTGGGAAACGCGTATAGTTAGTTGGTCAAACCAAACTTGTGATCAATCCATTAAGCCTTTTATAGTTAGTTTAGGCCAGCAACTTAGGGAGATGTAGGCTGTCTATATGTGGGATTCTCGGGATTCTTAGAATTAATGCCTGGAAACTTTTGGTGAAATAGCTCGAAATCGTTTTTGAAGTGACTTAGACGCGTTCACTCATTTGTGATCTCTTGGGTGCATTAAACCTTAATGTTTTTCCATGTTACTATTCTTTTCATTCATACATTTTCTGCTCATTATAGTTCCTTTTTCTCTCTCTCTCTCTGTTCTTTATCTCTGAATGTCCCAACTTGTAATGTTACCTTTCTGTACAAGTTTCCATGTTGAAATCCAGTCAGTCAGTTGTATATTGCTATCTTTTCCCAAGTATACTGACAATCGTAATATTTAGTTAGTGTTTGTAATTCCATATTAATTTGTTTATTTGATACGTCACATATACAATGAAACAGTATTCTTATCTACTGGATTGTTAGGAGATTCTATTATAAGTTCATAATTCTTCTTGTTAACTCTCTTCATTAATTTATGTTTTAACGAATCAATTTCATTTCGGGCAATGCATAACTTTTTCACTATTCTCTAGATTCCTTCTGTTAAGCATATTTTTTATGTAGTTGTTCTGTAATGCGAGAAGACAAGAGATTTGGTTGAGGGAAAGTACACCATATTTTTACATTTTTAAGCCATATTTAAGGTCAGCTACGTCAGCGGATAGATAATAAACGCATCGTGCGTCGGTGGAACAGTGGTTAGGACTCTCGCCGACCATGCACATGGTTCGAGGTTCGATTCCCTGCCGACGCACACCTGATTTCTATGGTCGGCCTGCAAAATTTGGGCTACCGATATCAAATGCTGAAAATTCCATATTTGTACCAAAAATACAGTGTGGAATCAAGCGGTAATAAAAAAATACACCGTTCCAATTGGTTGTTGGTTTTCTGAAGGTTAAACCCTTTTGACGAGAAGTTGTCCAATGAGATGATTTCCTGATTACAATGTGAGCTACATTCCGGATTTCAGGAATAAGCACTTCTACTTCCGCAGCGGCTGACTTAAAATGTTTTTTGTTTTGGTTACTTTCTGTCGACCTGCATCTCTCTCTCTCTCTCTCTCTGTATATATATATATATATATATATACTATTGACAAATCTTGTCAGTAGCATACGCCACGGTTCTATTGCTACTCTAGATTTGTCTGTTGAAATTAAAGCTTTCAGGCGTAGATATTATTTAGCAATGTTTTTCAAAGTATTTTGAATATTAAGTTATTTTTTTCTATTTTTATTTTATATGATAATCAGGTCAATAGTAATCCTCAGTCTGCAGCGCTTGCTCCTGAGGAGGGAGGAGAAAGATTTAAACACCTTTCTATTTCCTGCTTTCTTAAGAATCATATGTAGGGTTTTCAATGGCCCTTCCTTATATTGGTAAAACTGTAGTTGCCATAAATTCTTTTATCATTTATGTTATGATCCATAGTTCCGCTACTGCTTATCCCTTTCTTGTGACCTTTGCTGATCTTCTGAATAAAAGATGTAAAACACAGTTAAAAGAAGTCATCGATTCTCATGACAGTTGTAAGATTGACGACAGTGACATAGGAATTAAATCAGAAATTAAGTATCTTGGACTTATTCTCTCTTCTGACCTCTCCTGGTCTTCCCATGTCTTAGCGATCTCCAGTAAAATATTCCACCTGACATTTTACATTAAGAAGTTAAGACACTCGGGTATAACTCAACCCTTCCTCTTACAGTTCATAAACTCTTGCATCCTACCTATTCTTCTCTATTGTTCACCCTTATTCTTTCCTCGTTTGCTTAAAAAAGACTATGTCACAATTCGTAGAATACTGAAGACTGTCAGTAGGGTGAGTGGTGTCCCAGTGGACCACATGGTTAATGTTGTTGTCAATAGGCACTTGACTTCATGCAATAAATTTGCTAAAGGGATTTTGTCTGACTTGGAGCATCCGCTTTACCCTCAGCTTTCACCTTGCATCTCCGCCTCAGGCAGAACAAGGAGTAACTTCAGAAAAGTGTATACTCGCAAGTCTAAGTATAGAAATTCTATGATACCATACTTGGCACGTATTTTGTGTTATGAAAAATTAACTGACATTTTTCATCTAGTAAATAAATAATTTCCTCCATCCATCCTTATGTACCTTCAAGTTTTACTTTTATTATTTCTATTAAATTTATGGTCCTGTTGTTTCTTTGTTTAATTTACTTTCATAATTGCAAACACCAACTTATCTCCATGATGGCTGCAATCTTTGTTTTTCCCCTCACCATATCATGTAAAGAGAACATTATTTTGAATATTTTTAAACATGCTAGGATTTCTATACCTCATCGACAGTACTGTGTAAAACAAGCCCATTGCAATTTTCACTTGTGTTGTTATTATTGTTACCTTAGCTGTTATCATTATTATTATTATTTCCATTTTATATGCTGCATGTTTTTGACATTACCCACCCCTATTGTAAATGTGGAAGATTTTCTGTGTGATTAATTTTATTTATAATTTGAGGAAATTAGATGGAATATTGTGATTAATGCTGAAAATTCCATTCTGTATTACAAGCACTGTTTTTGGAATAAAGTAAATCATAATATATATATATATATATATATATATATATATATATATATAAAGAGAGAGAGAGAGAGTGAAAATACATATGGATCAATAGATTAATAATACAAAATATAATGGACACCATCTATTGTCGTCTTTTACACTCTTAAGTGCATGTAAACTTTAGGAAATTGATTATTTCTTTTAGTTACTTTTTATTTCTCTCGTTGATTTGTTGATTACATTGAACCGAAATGCTCAGGCCACTCAAAAAGGGTTTTAAAGGTTGTCAGTAGAGTATGTGGTGTGTCCTTAAGTCAGCTTGTTCTTATTGTAGTGGATAAACACCTCAGCTCTATATCGTCTGACCCTCAACACTCCCTCTCTTCTCAACTCTCTCCTTGTATCTCAAATGGTCATTATAAAAGATTATACTTTAGTAGTGTGGTGATTGCTGGCTGCTAGACAAATTAGTAGACAGTAATTTATGTCAGTGTTTATGTCCCAAATATTGGTCATGTGAAAACAAGAACAAAGACTGACTCAATAACCAATCACAGCAGACTTTGCGTAGGCGGATACAGTTAACATATATAGATGATCTGTCATTCAAGAAACAGCCACAAAGAGATGAAAGATTAACTTTCAATGAGAAACCACCAATCAGAAGACTGTCTTTGTTTGCTTACAATAATCCATAATAATGTACATGAAAATCTATAAATATCTGTTGATTTCCTTAATAAACGATCTATTGCCTGGCCCTTGTCTTCTGTCGTTACAGTAGTACCAACGATACCATATTTAAGCCCGGGTCTTATGTACTAGATTTAGTTTTAAGCGAGAAACCTAAGACTCACTTTATTATCAGTGAAATAATTGGCTTCTTTGTCCTCTCCCCTTTTTGTAATTTATGATGACACTATTTCAGTTATCTTATAATTTTAGTTAACATTATTATCACCAATATTTTACACTTTTGTACATTTTTGACTCTATTTTCACTGAGAATACCAAAATGCTTTCCGTTATTCAGTCCTGTAATATTATTTTTATATTTTCATTTTTGATTTTGTTGAGTAAATTATTGTACCAAATGCTAAGAATTTCACACTGTTATCACAAGTACTCTTTTGGAATAAAACAAATTATTATCTCTACTGACCTATCAGCTGCTAGTACGGATACTTCGACGATGTTTTAAAGTTAACATTATATTGTTTGGTTGGTTGTTTATTGACTAGCACTGGAAACTAAGATATACATGTCGTCAGATTTACGTGCGTGCATCGCCAATTGGTGGTGCCCAGCACCCGTCATTTCAAAAACACACAGATGTGCTCTTCACTAGGCCGCGATAGCCGCCACCTCTTTGTTTGAGATTTAGTTACGAGCGGAAATCATTTAGCGAAACATTAATGAAACAATGATGTACTGGACAACCGTTTCATCCTACTTTGGGACTCTTCAGCTGTATACACACGTCAGTACTCTACCGACTAATGAATTGTGCGAGTTCTAGGAGTATGTGTCAGTCGGGAATCAAACCCAGGGGCTTGTGACGGGGTTGGCGAGTCTTCTATTACTGAACTTCCGATGCTATACAGCACTATAACCATAATTATTTTGCACTGGAAAACATTTTAAATAGTATTATAATTTCTATTTATTCCTTTAAGTTTTCGTTTCTCTATTTTTATAGGCTATGAAGAAGACGAAGAAATCTGTGAAGGAAGCAATGTGTATACTGTCACAAACAAATATGACTATGCCAGAATTACCACCTCTCAATGGTTGGGTGTAAATATAATATATTTGCATACATGATATATTTTTCTCTTGTTCATCTCAACTTATGATTTCGGGCGATTATATAGCATATCCCCTTTTTGAGGTGGCACTATCTTTATCCAGCGGCTATCGACCAAAGGGCGTGTGTACTGCTCAACAGCAGTCCTCTCTGTCTTCCTTTATGGCTATTAGTAGTAAGACATGGCCATTGAGAGTGGAAGACATGTAGAGGCCGGCTAACTGTCTTTGATCACAGGTGTTTCCATTCTGTCTTCCGTGTATTAGGTATATTAATAGGGTGATTAATATAGAGGTTAGGCGTCAAGTGCTAGGTAGTGAGGAAAAATCAATCGACAAAACTATGAAGTTACATCGATTGAGATGATTACGACATTTGTTATTCATGCATACCTAGGCACCGCCTTTCTCGACCGACGAGCTATGTTAGCTGACATCGGATGGATCAGGTTAGGAGAGAGCTAGTACTGGTCAAACCAAAATGTAGCTTCATCAATTAATTAAATCCATAGCCGTCATTTCGAGTCGACCACTTAGGGAGGTGTATCCTTCTTGGCTGTTTGGCGTTCTTTGGATGGTAAAAACCAATGAAGGCTGGAGACAAATGGCGCAAATGCATGCATTCATTCCTTGGAATTTATAATATCCGATAAAACTATTGGCCATTCATAATGCACATGCACATCTGTGCAGAGTTCTTTTTTGAAACCAGTCAACCAGTGGATATAAGAGTACTTCAATGAATAGACGATAATAGGCTAACAAGATTTGATGAAAATTCAATAATATACGTTTCACTCTTCAACTTACTACCCGATTTAATCCATCATATTGCGCAGATATATCGGCGTCAAGATAGATTTCCTGCTATAAAAGTGCAGCATATGTAACGCAATTCAAGAGAATAATGCCATCCGATAATATATACGTCAGAATAAAACATTTTAATACAAAATTTCATTTAAAAAATGTATAACTTGTCATTTAGTCGCCGTATCAACGAACATTGCAACTAGAGGGGATGTACAATAAAACCACTCCGTTTGAAGGCAGTAGTATAAAGAACATATACCAAAGGTCGAATGCCCCTGAAGCAGACAGTCACGTGCCTCTAGGTGAAATGTGCTACTCATAGTATAAAAGTATATGTTTACTGGATGCACGTTTAGTAGAAAGGAATTATGTAGGGTAAATGTTTGTAATGCGTTGCAAAAAGCGACTTCCGTTTTCCATACGGTTGGCCATAGTAAATTAGCCAGAATCTGTACGAGTACCAGTTATAGGATCCACTGATGAATGATTGACTTTAAGATGAATATAACCTAATGATGACAGTCACATTGTTAAGCATTTCAAATGGGTCTTGCCCATAATCATTATTGCAAGTTTTATCCTAAGCTTCGCTACAGCTTTTGCCTTAATCATAGCCCTATTCTAATCGTGAATCAGAGTGAACCTTGCAATGAAGAATATAAGAGGTATTCACTTGTAAACGGAGCAATCTGATTGGTTGGCCTTAGGCCATTTGGCTCACTTTTGTCCATTTGATATTGTGATGACTATATTTTGTTTGCTTTTCGATGCGCGCTTTTCGACTACTGCGTTACATTTTCCTTAATAATAAAAACTCTCGTTTCTGTAAAATTTTATGCCAAGAGTTTGTGGAAACTATCACAATTATTTACTTTTCGAACACTGAATCCAAGAATACAATCTTATTGACAGATAATACATATAACTAACTATTTGGATTTGTGGAATTTTTAAACATAAACACATCTATAATTGTATATATTGTTGGATTTACATGTTCAAGTTGCTCCAAGTCAGTGAGTTTATGGTTGAGATATCATTTTAGTTAACTGTGCTGAACTATATTGCATGTTGTTGTATTGTATAGTTGTTGTCGCTTTTTGCCCTTTTTTCTGTGAACTGTTTCTTTTTGTTGGTGTTGTTCTCATTGTTTTGTCCGTTATTTTCCGATTTTTAGGGAAGCAACCCAAAAAGTCGCTTCTCTCTAAACTTTATCTTAATGTTATCATTCCTTTTTCAGGCGTGAGGCTAGCAGCCCCACCCTGTAAACAAAATTGCTAGAGAAACTTCAGTACGATGAACCTCTTTGCACCAAAAGAAAAAGTCTGTGTGGGAACATGTAACGTCCGAACTATGTACGAGACTGGGAAAGCTGCCCAGATCGCCAATGAGATGAAAAGATACTGAATACAAGTGCTGGGAATATGTGAAAGCAGATGGAATGGGAGTGGACTGACCAAATTGTCAACGGGTGAGTCAGTGATCTACTCCGGTCACCCAGAAGATAACCACACGCACACCGAGGGCGTGGCTATCATGATGTCACCAACGTCAACGAAAGCCCTGATGCAATGGGAGGCGATTTCGTCCAGGATAATGACCGCCAGATTCAACTCCAAAGGAAGGAAAGTGTCAATCATACAATGTTATGCACCCACAAACAACGCAGACCTCGAGAAGAAAGAAGAATTCTACAGGCAACTACAGGCAACAATGGACAATACTCCAGTTGGCGACATGAAAATACTAATGGGAGACATGAACGCCAAACTGGGACCAGACAATACGGGAAGGGAACTCATCATGGGTAGAGAAGCTCTAGGAGAAATGAATGAAAACGGAGAACTCTTCGCCGACTTCTGCGCCTTCAACGAACTGGTGATTGGTGGCAGTGTATACAAGCACAAAGACATCCACAAGGCTACATGGGTGTCACCAGACGGGCAAACCAAAAACCAAATCGACTTCATCTCAATCTCAAGGAAGTGGAGGCGCAGCCTACTGGACACAAAAGCAAGAAGAGGAGCAGACGTTGGCTCAGACCACTATCTCGTTCAAGGGACAATCCAAATCAAATTAAAAGCTTTCAAAGAAGGAGGAACTGCAGATAGACCACAAGCCAAGTTCAACACTCAAAAGCTGAAGGACCAGGCTACAAAGGACATCTTCATTGCAAGCATAAAGGACAAAGCCGAGACACAAATCAACACCAGAGAAAAGGTCAGCGTCGAAAAGCACTGGAACAACTTGAAAACGGTGTGGAGTCAAACCTGCATGGACGTTCTAGGCAGAAAAAAGAGACAGGACAAACAGTGGCTCACTACGGACACTTGGAAACTAATAGAAGAGAGAAGGACAGTGAAACAAAAGATTATCCAGTGCACCGACGAGCAACAAAAACAGGAGCTGAATGCAAGCTACAATACACTGAACAAAAGAGTGAAGAAAAGTGCCAGGGAAGACAAAAGAAAATATTATGAAACCATGGCAAACGAAGCAGAACAAGCTGCAGGCAAAGGAGACCTCGCCACACTCTACCAAACAACTAGGAACCTTTCGGGCAAACGTTCGACACAGATTAAGCCAATAAAGGACGACAATGGAAAGTCAATCACCAAAGAGGTGGAACAGAGAAAGCACTGGGTTGAACACTTCAAAAGACTTCTAAATCGTCCGCCACCTACAACGCGCCCAACAATACCAACAACGGAAGCAGAACTACCAGTGAACACTGACCCCCCGACGAAATCAGAAGTCCTGAATGCAATCAAGATGCTTAAAGCTGGGAAAACACCGGGACCAGATGGAATCCCAGCAGAGGCTTTGAAAATAGACCCAGAGACAACAGCGGACTTGATGACACCACTGCTGGAGAAGGTGTGGAAAGAGGGCAAAGTACCCGAGGATTGGAAGAACGGATACTTATTCAAACTTCCAAAGAAAGGAGACTTAAGTCAATGTAAAAACTGGCGTGGAATTATGCTTCTGTCCATTCCAAGCAAGATACTAAGTCGCATCATCCTGGAGAGAATCAAACAAGCCCTAGATGAAAAACTTCGTCCGGAACAGGCTGGATTCAGGAGAAACAAATCATGTATTGATCAAATCGCCACTCTACGGATCATCATTGAACAAAGCTTGGAATGGCAGTCACCTCTCTATCTCAACTTCATCGACTTTGAAAAGGCCTTCGACAGCGTCGATCGAGAGGTCATTTGGAAACTACTTCGCTACTACGGGGTCCCATCGACAATTATACATCTCATCCAACAGTTATACGACAATGCTGCATGCCAAGTAATCCACAACGGGAAACTTACGGAAGCCTTCGAAGTGAGGACGGGAGTGAGGCAAGGCTGTCTACTATCACCAATGATCTTCCTGATTGCAATTGATTGGATAATGCGACAGACAACGGCAACCAACGAGGGAACAGGCATAAAATGGACTGACACAAAAGACTTGGAGGATCTGGATTTCGCCGATGATATATGTCTGATTTCCCATAAACTGGAAGATATGCAAGTGAAAAGTAACAAGTTGGCAGAAGAAGCATCAAAGATAGGACTTCACGTGAACATAGATAAAACAGAGATGATGAAGATTCCTAGCCAACATCAACAGCAACAACAACAACAGACAACAATCAGCATAAATGGGAAGAACCTGAAAGAAACAACCTCCTTCACCTACCTGGGAAGCATCGTCTCAACTACAGGCGGAACTGACGAGGACATCAAAGCCAGAATCGGAAAAGCAAGACAAGCTTTCATTACTCTCAAATCTGTGTGGAGGTCAACAGCACTCAGCATCAAAAATAAGATCCGGATTTTCAACTCCAATGTGAAGTCAGTGCTACTATACGGATCAGAGACTTGGCGAGTCATAAAGAGCATCTCAAACAAACTTCAAACCTTCATTAACAGTTGTCTCCGCTCAATACTCAAGATCAGATGGCCAGAAAAGATCAGCAACAGGGATCTCTGGGAGCGAACCAATCAGGAACCGATTGTGAAACAAATAGGCAGAAAGAAATGGAGATGGATTGGCCATACGCTGAGGAAACCATCAAGTGACATCACTAGACAAGCCCTCGAGTGGAACCCGAAAGGGAGGCGGCGAGTTGGTCGTCCAAGGGTGACTTGGAGGAGGTCATGCGAGGAGAAGATGAAAGCATGTGGA